TACTACGTACTACTACTACTACTACTTACTACTACTACTATATATATATATATATATATATATATATATATATATATATATATATATATGCATACTTTATATACACATACATTCCTAGCACATTATTTAATTACGTCTGGATGGAATTGTATAAAAAATAATTCCCTTCAATGCTAGGCAATAATGAATAACAATCAGCTCAGATATTAATTAATTACTGTCATTTGCACATTATGAAACGCACTTCCATTAATTATTATCATGAGCATATAATTGGACGTTCCCTATTATTTTCAAGATTTCTACTTGTTGATTTCTTTTTGAAGGAAATTAGAGGTTTGTTTTTCTAAAGAAAGGAAGGAAACTTTCATTACTCAAATAATGTTTGCTTGCAAATAGAGAAAACGATATAAAATGAAACGTTTCAAAATGGTGAAGTTCCATTTCATATTGTTTATTCACCTGTCTAAGGTAGGGAAGATGAACAGAATTACTTCCAACGAAACAAAGGCTGAATTCAGATCCTCTTTTCTTCACTACAATTTATTTGTTTTTCTTGCACCATCACCTTCTTCTGGTTATATTTATCAAAAATTGAAGGGTAAAAAAAATTTCATTCAATCTGCTTAGCATTAAGTTCATCCCTCCTAAATAGATTTTGGCGTCTTCGCAAATATGCAATCTTTATTATGATAATTTCATGATGTAATATTTGAACATCCGTAACTTTTATCCTGAATTCGTCAGTTTTTGTCATACCACAAATAATGTGATAGCATGTTAACATCGGTTTTCAAAGTTTCTTGTACTTCAGCTCCTTGGAATGTCTTTTTCCTAACATTTTTTCTTGTTCGAATTTTCATGCCGACTTAAAAATCCAGAAATTTCTTTCGGCCTATTTGTAGACGCATTTCCGTCAATGTTTTCAGTTCCGTTTTTATTTTGTTGACTAACTTTAACAATGCTACAGCAAATTTGCTGGTATTCTTAAGCCTTAAATGAGTCTATATGAGACCAGAAAAGAAGTAAATTATGCTCCAATTGTCATTCAGTTTTGCTTACAAAATTGAAATGTCAACATACATGAAGCGGGCCAGTATCGGTAGATAATTCATATCACTTCCTGCAATTTTTATTGAGAATCCCCTTTCGTCCCGCTGATTTCGATGTCTAGGATTTTCTTTCTCCTCATTCTCCTTCTCCTCCTCCTCCTCATACTATTGCTACATTTTGTCCTATTCCTCTTTTTGTCTCGATGATCTCGACATCTCGGATTTTCACTCCTTACTGTTACTACTACTACTACTACTATATTCTATCTCACTTCTTAATGCCAGCAATGATTAGCAATAGTTAATTTTAATCTTAGTTTAAACTAACGTTCAGTGCTTACTTGCAAAAAAAAGAAAGTGTTGCTTTCTCTTGGAATGAATTTGTGAATTTGTTGTCTGGCAATAGTTTATTAGAAAAAGGTTTTAAAAGAAGAGCGATCTGAAAGATGAAACGTTTACTAAGGGTTGTTGGTAGAATAATAATTTGTTAATTTAACTTCTTACGGTATTCTATTATTTGTTGCCTTAGAATTAATCTTCTTCCTTGCTCTTCTCCTCTTCCTCTCTCTTCCTCTCTCCCTCTCTCTCTTTTTATTTCTCTCTTTCGAAAATTTATTATACCGTGATGAAAGAAATAATGCGCACTTCCCCGAAATATGTTTATCTCAAGAGAACAATTACCTTTATCAGGTCTCTTTGTAGCTTTGCTTACCGCTGTTGTTAAAGATTGCTTCAGGAAAACTTGTGAAATTTTTGCCGCATTACCTACCACAAATATTTCTTCCACCTCACTCCAGAAATCCTTTAATTTTAAATTCTTAGCAGGATATTACAAAAACTATATAGATAAGTAATCAAACATCGATGGATGTGTTACTTCGCAAGCTCACCTGCTATCAACCGGAAGGTATGTTCTTCTCCTCGTTCTCTACAAACTTACTGTTATCAGCTTTTCAAATCTGTCATCAATTTCCACAGAGGATCGATCATACAGTCGACGTTAATAATTATTCATTGATATCTTTTCCCAAATTAATTTATAAAGCCTTTTCCAATTAAATATTCATCTCTCTGAAGTTCGACAGACAGAAAGCATTTTTTTTATTACTTCAATAATATTCATTTACATAATATTCAGTCATAATATTCATAATATTCAATCTTTTGTGTGTTCCCTTCCAATCTGTTCTTCTCGACATTTGCAATTATCTTTCTATGAATGTTTGAGCCTTTGACAAATACGAAGCACACAAAAGAAATTGTTCATTTTATGATCACTAATTGCTATTTAATTTTCGTTAAAAGTTTAGATTCCCAATAAGCGACATTTAAATTTAACATAAATAAAAGAAATCGAATTAATTGAACAAAGTTCACATCGAATTGAATATTGAATTGCATAGCATAAATAGGAAAACCAAGAATTTTGAGCCGGTTTTTTTTTTTTTTGAATTATTATGGGTGCAAAATTATTGCTGTGAAGAAATATTTATCTTCTAAAACCAATTGGGCAATCATATTGCGATATGCATAATGCCTACCATGTCGTCCGTTTATCCTCCATGATCGAATAGGATAATTGTTATCTAGTTCTTGCAAGCATTGGCTTTTCCCGGATGATTGATAAAATCCTTACCACCGGAAGATTTTAAATCCGTTTTTGTACCTTTTTATTGCTATAACTTTTTATAACTTCCAGTTTTTTGTTCACGGCGCTTATGCACTGTGGAAACTGTGGTTAGTTTTGGTAAGCAGCTGTAAATTTAATGGTTTTAGACTTTTGGCTAAAGTTCTTTCTTATCGAATGTTTTATTTGAATTTAAAACGAAATGCTAATTTATCTCACCATTGAAATTGAATTCCTGAAAATAATTGCATCCTTTTGATAGCACCCTGTACTTATCGATAAGCAGTTTTAATCTAACTGATTTGATCCGCTCCTTTGCATCTCTTCGGTGCAGCTAACACACTTTTTTTCATTTTTTTTTTTCATTTAAAATTAACATTTCCAAATAAATTTACTTGTGATTGTCCAACACATAAAATTGCTTGTTCCCTTCTAAGCAGTGAAGACATTTTGAAATACTTAACAATGAGAATTTGAAATTCGGAGCTTCTTTAAGAAAATTCGTTCTACCTTTTTCTCAATATATCATTCCTTACAACAAAGTGCTGATGAGTAATGTACACTTGACGACCTGATTGGTCACTGGCTATAAAAGAATCCTCTGTCCAGTTCAGTTTAAATGTAATTTTTCAAAAGCAATAATGCAATAATTCAAAATTTACTAATAATTTAATCCTGGCTAATGATACAATCAATCTGCAAACGTCAATGTCCAGATGATTTGAATTCACAACACCACAACATATCCTTTTTCTTTGAGAGGAAGAAAATCGGATATTACCAAGAGTGGTGTAAATAGATTTTTGACTGATAAATTATTTTCGCATATCTCACACGATTACATTTCTACTTGGAAGTTTTTGAAAGTGATGGTTGATTTCTAAGTTTTACTTTGTGACTTCTATTATTCGTATAAAGTGGTAAGTACACGTTCACGTGCTTGCTGCTTCTTGCTCACGTCCGTGCTTATGACAGCCATGCGAAAAAATAGCATAACACATAATTATTGCAGATTTAGATTTAAAAAAATATGGTGGACTGAAAAAAGTGACGTATACAATGATAAATTTGCTGACTCTTTTCAGCTTTGCATTATTATTTCAGGTAAGTGGCAATCATTATAAAGCAAGTTGAAGTGTTTCAAAAGTTCTATCTCACTTACTTGGGTCATCCAGGATCTTAGGTAGTTGATCATGAAGAAGGGAATATCCGGAATGAATACGGTCCTAAATTTCACTAAGGATCACGAATGAATTTGTATTATTGTTGTACCTTTATGCAATATATCGTTTTATTCAAATAAGACAAATGAGAAAAAATTATGCTTAGCTTAATGTTTAAGTTATTTTTGGAGAGTTAATTAGAGTTATTTTCCACTTTAATATCCCAAAGTTTCAGGAAATTAGTACGGATTACGAAGAGCAGAACAAGTCGATAGTGGAACTTCAAACACGTAATGGTATGGTGCGTGGTTATGAATCCGTCATACTTGGCAAACGTGTTCGATCATTTCTTAATATTCCATTCGCAGAACCACCTATTGGAGATAATCGTTTTCGACCACCAATAGCAAAACAACCGTGGAAGGGTACTATCGATGCTACCGTTCCTTCACCCGCATGTTACCAGGTGGCTCATTTGGCCAGTTCTGAAATGAATGCTTGAAAAGTGGATCAAAGTATCCTCTCCTCTTAATTTGCTCATTCCTTTGGTCTTCGTTGTTTTTTCTTCTCTTACACTTCTTATTTCCTATTTTCTTGTGATTGTTATTACATCATTCATATTTTCCCTATTTTCTGACACATCACTCAGGTTATCTTATCAGCATGTTGCTGCTGGGCCTTATAAGCTTTCTAAAAAAAAAGACAGCCATGCCCGATTTAAATCACTTCTTTGATCCATCCATCTACTGACCAAATGTTGGATTGTGGCATGTATCTGTCATCTATATCATTCCGGCTGTCATTAAGTTTCGAAAAGATATGTTAATTACATATCGTACATTTACTTTAATATATGGAAAATTTTTTTTGAAGCCTTTTTTAGTTCTGACTTGTTTTATTTGATACAAATTAAAACGATTTTTTTAAATTTTACAGAAGTTATGAATATTCAAGTTTCAGTATATTCGTTTGTAAAATCATTTGCAGGGTCGGGATACATATAATGAAACATTTTGGGGTTCCGAAATGTGGAATGCTAACACACCGGTTCAGGAAGACTGCTTGCGCTTAAACATTTGGGCTCCAGCAAATGCACAGTAAGTCACTTATACATATTGCTATCAATCTGTTTTTTGTATACTTCGAAACTTTTATGAATCATTGTGATCTCTCATCTCTCTACAGGTATCTTTTTTCTTTTTTTTTTATTTCATCATTATAAAAGTTCCGAATGTGCAAAAATGATTGATTTGCAAATTTCGAAATGCTATACCTTCACAAATATTTAAGAAACTCTTTTTGGTCCAAGAATTCAATCTATTCTATGTCCTTTTCATTATACATACTTTCAATTGTTAATAATCATAGCAACTTGACAACAATGGTATGGTTATTTGGTGGTGGCTATTATTCGGGGAGTCCTTCTCTAATTTTATATGATGGGAAAGCTATGGCAGTTACCAGTAATGTCATTGTTGTTAATATTAATTATCGTCTTGGACCATTTGGATATCTGTATTTGGATCATGACGATGTTCCCGGTAATATGGGAATGTTGGATCAGGTTTGTTCATTTTCTCATTTTGAATTCTTCCATTTGAATTTATCACGTATAATTTATTTAAACTGGTAGCTTCCAACCTTTTCTTGACCAGAGACAACTTTAGCTTTTTTATTTGTAGTTGGTAAAAATGAATTTCAATTATGAGTTTTGACGTATTAGTTTATCAAATACAGATAAAAACGTGTATCTTTTTGGTTGTTTTCCATGCACCGTGTCGTGCCCTCACAGACCAACCATATTGTAACGGACTACCAGTTGAGTACCACTGATTTAAAGTAATATTAATTGAATTTGTGTAATTCTTGATTCGAAGGGCGAATCATTTCTACAAATAAGAAGTTATGAGAGTTTTAATAAATGTTCTCTTCGTGATGGAACAAACCTGAAAAACATGCCAGATTTCAAACACCGTAAATTCTAGATTCTTCAAAATTCAATATTTTCAGCAATTGGCATTTCGTTGGATTCAAGATAATATCGTTTCCTTTGGGGGAAATCCTTCTCGAGTTACATTATTTGGCGAGTCAGCCGGTGCGGCATCAATTGTTGCACATCTGATTGCTCCGGGAAGTCACGGTCTCTTCAAACGCGGCATCCTGCAATCCGGTAGTCTAGACAACAAATGGTCACTGGATTCACCTCAACGCGCTATGCAGAAAAGCCTTGCGTTGGCTAGGCATCATGGCTGCCAAAGAGAAAAGGTAGAATGGCTAGTTCACCAGTTTTTAAATTTTTATATAAATCCATATTTACGAAGAAGAATTTCAAGAAAATATATTGTTATCAATTGAACAGTTCATTAATTAATGACCAACTGGTGAAAATCTCAATTTTAAGGGTGGAAGAATTGAACAAACAAATTGATGGATTTGTTTGTACAGTTTTACTCCCATTTTCAATATGTTAAATTAAATCACAAAATCGCATTTGCAGCTATCGCTTGCAGTTTGTTTGCAAATTTACAGCTATCATTTATTTTTTTTCTGCAATTGAATTGCATAAATTTAATAAGCATAAGCGTACGGATGGGAATGTCACATTCTGCATTTTGATAAAAGAAAATATTATCTAAAATAAAGCTTCGTTATATATTTAAATTATAACAAGTGCTTTCAAATTTTTTTTCTCTGCAATTGGAAATGAAATGTTTGACAAAAAAAAAAAAAAAAAACACATAAACAATTTTTGCAACTTATATTGAATCAGAGTTTTTAGCTCATTGCTTGTAGTTAACAATGAAATTAACATTTACTGTTGGGATAACGTGAATTTCTATATCGAAATAGAATTAAATGTATCTTTTAAGGTTGTATTTTAATCATTCAGATAACGCATACTATTAAATGCTTGAAGTCAATACCGGCCGCAAAATTGATTGATGGTATGTGGGAAAACTTGGAATTTTTGGAATTTCCATTTGTAATCGTTTCAAAGGATCGTAATTTTTTCAAAGAATATGATGCATACAAGGTGCTTCGAAATGGTCATCATAGCATGGATGTCGATTTGATGATCGGTATTAATCATGATGAAGGTATGAAAGCTTCGTTCATTTAATATGGAATTTGATCTTTCTATTTGTTTAGAGAGCTTTTGGCTAATTCCAGATAAAATTGTATTTCATATAAAGAGGATCGTGTATTTTCATGGAAGGACGCAAAGGGGAACATGAAATGATTTATAGATATTTGAATACCTGCAGGGTATTTGAACTTCCAGAACAAAAAAGAAACCCATTGTTAGTCAATCAATCATCAGCTACATCTCTATACTTATTCATTACATACTTAAAGAATTTGTATTCATGTAACACCTTCCATGATGGTGCATTTGCTTGCTGTTGACAATTGAATCATTGATGGTGGTGTAAATATGAAATTTATTTGATGAACAAGAACTGAACATCTTTCAAGGTAATTACTGGAACATTTACTTTCTTCCACAATATTTTGACAAGCCAGAACAGCCGCTATTAAGTCAAGATGATTTTCTGGATTGCATCAATATCGCATTCAAAGCACAACCGAAGATGGTTCGTCAAGCAGCTGCTTTCACTTATATGGATCGACGATGCGAGAATATCACTCAAAAGAATAAATTTTATGCTGAACAGGTCAAAGTTCAAGTTGATTTTACTTGAAATATGAAAAGGGCATATATGTTGAAGCATTAACTAAGTTTATGTGATATAGGAAGACTGATAATTATTTCATGGATATAGATATATCTAATAGAAATGAGTTTGGGAGCTATATATTATGATTGCTATCATGAATGTTTATTCACGTTCAAATAAGAGAAGCTTACTTTATTTTTGGGACTGGCTTTCTAGTAAACAAACTGGTAAGTTGCAGTCTTGTCTGAATCTTCTCCACCTTTCTTGTCAGATCGTTCCTCATAGGATAACTAACTGGTTAAAAAAGTTCTTACTATTTTATAGATCAAATTACAGTATTTGGTGCTGAATTCTGAACTTAACATCCGGAAATCATCCTGTTCTGGAATATTCATGGTTTTTACAAATTTTCCATTTTCAGGTCAATCAAATGGTTGGTGATTATTATTTTACATGCGATAGCGTATGGTTTGCGGAACATATGAAAAAAGGAAGTGGCAAAATCTACGTCTATTACTTTGACCAGCGTTCTAGGTAAGTTTAAGTACTTGAAATCGATTATTAAATTCCTATTCAGATTTTTTGCACTAATAAATATTTCATTAAATTGATTGTGCGAGAAGTGATGGTTTAGGATAGTGTTTTTATTGCTGATAAGTGATGGCAGTACCTGATGGATCCAAGTTAACTTGGCTTGTTAGTATTGTGGATGATGAATGGATAATCGGAAAGAAGCTGCCATCCATAAATAATAATTAAAAATTGCAGCGCTAATCCATGGCCAGAATGGGCAGGTGTTATGCATGGCTATGAAATTGAATATGTATTTGGTGTGCCGCTCTACAACACAACTGCTCCATATACCAATCAAGAACGTATTTTCAGTGAAAAAATATTGAAATACTGGGCCAATTTTGCCATCTATGGGTTTGAATTTGTACATCCATCTGCGCAAAGAAAAAACAGTGCAAGTTTGAAGTGGCATGTTGTACTTAGGGAAGATTAACTTTGAGCTAAGTATATTGTCAAAAGTAACTAATATTAATGATTACTCAGAGCTACACTACAGGAAACCAAATTTCGAAGGTCAAGATCGTGATGTTTGGCCGGAATATCATGAAACCGAAAAGTGGATGTATTTACGAGCCGATGAGCAAAGCGGTTCGATTGAAAGGCGAAAAAAAGAAGAGTGTGAATTATGGAGAAATGTAAAGGACTTAGAATTCGCTGACCATTGTAAGTGAATTATGCTACAAAAGTTTTAAAAACTTTTACTTGAAGGAATCAATTTAATTATGGTTAATTTTTATGATAAAAATTAGCATAAAGTTATGCAAATTTCACCCAAAAAACGATTAAATCATTTGATGAAGGAAAAAAAGTTAAATCATTTAATTTAATCTATTGGTATATACATCATTTCCAGATTTAAAATATTTGGTGAGAAAATCAGAATTTTTAAAAAATCCTTAGTTGTACATTTGCAGTGAGAGAAAATAGTAGTCCCAGGCGATGGAGACCACATGGATCTATATTAGTTGTACTCCTTTTATTGCTCACAGTTCATCCTATCAGGTGGTAATTTCTGACTTGTACTATGCTACGATCTACCCCGTTTACTGAATCGTTTTCTACATTCCATTCTATTTCATCAATTGCAGTAATGTTTTTCCTATATTTGTCAAATCTCCACCGTCCTAAAATACAAATTGACTTCATTTTACTTTCATTATTCAAGAAGATGTGAGCTGGGAAGTTTAATGATTAAAAGAAGTTTAGTAAGGTCATGGATTAGATCGGTTTTGCTTTAGTTTCATATCATCTCTCACATGATGGATTCTTTCATGAACAAAAGATGTATGTAAAATTGGTCAAAAATGTAAGCATACTGATAGGGCAGGAATGCGCAGATTGTTCCTGAATTTCAAGAGTCACGGAAGGTCAGTTAGGCATAAGTCTAGCACAGTTTTTGAAAGATCTGTATGGATCAGGGAAAAAAAAAATCATATTAGGCTGAAAAATGTCGACCTTTGTTCTGAAATAACTAAACCTTATTATCCCATACTAAAGGTTTCCTAGTTTTGGATTCGATTGTCAAAATCTGTTATCGAATACTCACCAAATTATCTTTTCATATTTCTGAATCAATAATATGAACAAATTTATGTTTAAATTATATTTTTGAAATACTCTGAAAACTCTTCACTTTAGAATTTCTGAATGGGTTTTTTAATGTTCATGATTTGTATTGAGCTCAAAATCTTTTTTCTTTTATGAACGTTTTATTAATCTTTACGCAAAAGCAGAACTTCAATTTTGATTCCTACTAATTTTTCGCCCGTTTCTATCTTCATTTCCAATCCAATTAGAATAGGTCGGATAGATGAGTAAGCCTTGGACAGGAAGGAAGTCTCGGATAGGCAAGGGATTCTCAAATAGATAAGGAAACCTTGGACAGATAAGAAAGACTCGAATAAGTAAGGAGTTTTTGGATGGACAAGGAAGCCTGTGATAGGCAAGGAAGCCTCGGATAGGCAGAGGGAGTTTCTGATAGATAAGGAAGTCTGGAGTCTGGACTTTTTTCACATGGTTATTCTCTTTCAAACTTTCACAGTCATTGTTTTCTTTCGCAGCTTTTTTTTCCTGTGATGTAAAAAACTAAAGAAATCTGCACGATGTGGTGATAATTTTTTCGATTTGAATTTGTTTTGCATTTCAGGCATCAAAATTAGCCACTTTCTTAGTCCCTGACTCTTACCTTTACCCTTTCAAAATAACATCATTTCCTCATGTAAATGTGTTTGTGACCATATATTACCAAATTTTCATTCAAATCATATCATCCTCACTTCTTTTAGTACTTATATTTTGGTGTATAAATGTGTGTGTGTGTGTGTGTATGTGTGTGTGTGTGTGTGTGTGTGTGTGTGTTGTGTGTGTGTGTGTGTGT